TATGTTTGTTAATAATTCCTGTTTATTTAACTATATATTTGTTAATACTATTGTTTAAATTTCTTATATTTTCATGTATCTTTCCTGTCTTGCAAGGAGCACCTGTAACATAAATAATTTCCCCTCGGGGATCAATAAAGTATTTCTGATTCTGATTCTGATTCTGATATCAGCCTTGTAAACAGCTTACAGCTGATTTATAGTTTGGCTATATCAGCTCTACACAGAGTCTGTGCTGTTGCAAGCAGTGGTGTCTGTGCAACACATTCTCACTGTGACCTCGTCACATATCGATGTTTAGTCTTTGACTTTCTACGTCCAGACATGACGTCCAAGGTACCCTGGGTGTGCTGGTTGTTCTTTCAAAGCCTTCCTAAAATATTGTGTTCACGAGAATGAGATGGTAGCAGATCACAGTGACCTTTGCCCACAAAATCTAATCAGTTTATTGTTGAGTCCAAGTAGATGTTTGTGCCAAATTTAATAAATTCCCTCAAGGTGTTCTTGAGACATTGGGTTCATGACATTCTCGGAACCCATCGGCTGTATTCGGCGTCTGACTTCCGGCAGACGGCGATACAGCCTCTGGGAGCAGACCCCTGATTTTTTGGTATTCCGGTTTGATTTGGGCGGAGGAGGCAAATTTCCGTTTCCGACTTCTGTTTATATATAAGTAAATATGCTGAACCATTGCAATGGATTCAGAGTTTGCAGTGACGCCAATTATGTTCTGCCTCGTTAGTTCACCGCACGGACCGTCTAACCTGGCAACAACTGCAGATGTGATTGGTCAATATCACGCAGACTACAAACAGCCTACAACCGGAAACCAGGGCTCTTCCGCTCTTCTTCCGGAGGCAAGATCTCCGGGGTTTGCCTACAGACTCTACATTCACTGAATGTAGAGTCTGTATATAGAGACTAGGTTCATGACAACAGGACGGAGAAAACTTAAACATATGGCCTCTGGTCACAGCTATCACCGGTGTGGAGGCCTGAAGACATGCAGTATAATGTGAAATAGCTCTACGTGGCTCGGAGAAAAAAAAAATGAATGAATGAATGAAAGTAAAGAAGATTTTGGTCTGAATTTGATTTTAAATCGAAGCAAACCAAAATCTTCTGAGTGCTGATGAATAAAGAGGAAAGACAGACGCCATCAGCAGGGTTGGAAATGAACGTTGTGCTCCACCTGTCACTGTGACTGAATTACAAAATCTATCAGACTCTTAATATCAGTATTTTTTTGGCTGCTGAGTTTCAGCTGGTGGCTGGTCCTAATTTCCAACTCTGCCATTAGACACTAAAACCTGAAGAAAAAAATGTTCATAAAAAGCTGTTCTGTTGGGAGCCTGTTTCTTTATTGATTCCGGCTGCTGATGAATCGTCACATTCCTGCACGGATCAATCTAATCCCCGTCGGTAATAGAGCTTTTTATTGAAACTAATATTTTAAAATACTTTCTCCAGATGTTAAATACTGGGAGTTTACCCCATGGTGTCATATCTGGACTCAGAACACAACGTTTGACTATGTTTGTTAATCGTCTTCCACATTTGGTTTGAGTTTTAATGAACAAACTGAAATTATGACTTCAGTTACGGTATCTGAGGTGAACCACAGCGTTAGCCTGGTGTTACTCGGCTCTTATTAAGAACAAACAAATCAAACGTTAAACGTGGCAGATGTTAGCGGGGGTGCAGTCTGTCATGGCGTGCTTGTTTTCACACCCTGGGGCACTCTGGGTGGGTGGAGCTGTAGGTTTTAGTCATGTGTCAATAACTACAAAAGGACCTCCTCCCACGCAGTGTGGTCTCAGGCTGGGAACAAGATGGCGTGAACTGGTGTGACATCACAGTGACCAGCCAATCACAACACACAGTGGCTGCTTTCCCAAAATGTCTGCCAGCAAAGTTTGTTTTTTTTCTTCTCGTCTGATTGAAATGAAACATAACTGCTGGATTTGAATCTCCGGATTCACTTTGACCGCACCACATTTTGGGAAACACAGAGCACATCACATGATGCTGGAAGCAAGGAAGTCAATCAGCCAATCAGCTGTAGCGTTACCTCCGTCGGTCCTCCGCTCTCGCTATTGGATGGAAGAACTTTCTACACACCAAACACAGAGGCAGATACATGAGCATCAACATCGTCCCACAGTAACAGACACAAACAGGAGGTTGACATGTTTACACGCAGACTCATCCGTCACGTTAACACTGGAAACCTCTCGCTCTGGAGACTGGTTTGTAGCTGGTGGGTTTAAGGTGGAATAAAGACTCTGCAGGCCCCGCCCATTAACCCATTAACATAGGATTTTGTTTCAGGATGGGTGAGTTTGAGTCGGCGTGTAAAAATGATTCTCAACATCAGATATGTTTCATATTTTGATGATCTTTATCGACACAAACCAAAGACCCAGTGATCTGTGTTATTGAAGCAATAAAAAGTTGAAGGCTGCAGTGTTTCCTCACAGAGAGAGATCAGCTTCAGACAAGCTGTCTAAACACCACTGATCTGCTGCTGCTGCAGAGAAACTAAACTACAAACCAGCTCTCATGTTTTGATTTGATCAAATGAAACTTTATTCCCACAATTTGATCAAGTGAAACTTTATTCCCACAATTTGTCCTTCATCTCCTCATCTTCCTCCATCTCTCTATCTTACTCTTAATCCACCCTTTTTATATAATAATTAACTCTGTTTTTATCCTCCTCCTCCTGTCTCTGTGCCTCACCTGTGTGTGTGTGTGTGTGTGTGTCTCACCTGAGTTGCTGTGTCTCTTGGTGAAGGGGTTGAGCGTAGCTTTAGCTTTGGAGGTCCAGTTAGCGGTGCTGGAGCCGAAGGAGCTGGAGGACAGAGACTTGCCCAGGTTGTCTGAGCTCACCTTCTTGGTGTTGTTGGTTGCTGTCTTACTCCAGTCTGCAGCAGACACACACACACACACACACACACACACACCCACACACACACACCATCATCATCACCATCATTACCTCCTCCATAGATTGTATCACACCTGTTCTCCAGCAGCTTCACTGGCTTCCTGTTAAATATCACATCGATTTCAAGTTTCTCACCTTTAATGCGTTTCATAATAAATCAATGAATATGTCACATAAACACTTTAAAGTAACACCAGACTGTTTCTGCTGCTGAAGCAAAGGGTGGAAACGTAATTAATAAAGACTGATGACTGAAGTGTGTCATTTACAATAAAATATATTTCAGTCCGAAACACTTTAGTCAAAGGAAATTTTATTTCCATTTGCAGTGTCATATCTGGAGGTATGGCTCTGCTCTGGGACCTGTGTTCACCTTCCTCTGATTCTTCTGTGGAGGCTCGAGAGAAAAGTTTTTACACAAATTCAAAGTAACACATGTTGAGTATCTGATGAACCAGTGGTATAGGAATAAACTCACACATATTATACGGAAGAGCAAAAGAGATCATTACACCGAACGATTGAAATCAGCCCAGAGTGATTCCAAGAGGACATGGAAGGTGTTGAACGAAGTACTTGGCAGGGGGCATAAAGGCACTGTGCTTCCTGATACTAATGGCTTCAATGAGTTAGCCAACTCCTTTAATAAACACTTTAGCTCACTTGGTGAGAATCTTGCCAGCAAAATCCTCCAACAACCAGGCACGTCATATAGTCACTATCTGCATGGGAGACTATTTACAGGACAGGGAACAATATGTCTCCATAAATGGCCACATATCACAACAGAAAATAATTAAATATGGGGTTCCCCAGGGCTCCATATTGGGACCCCTTTTATTCATCATATATATAAATGACTTTGTAAAAGCATCTGATATTTTCCATGAAGTTTTGTTTGCTGATGACACTAACCTGCTCCTGTCCCACAAGAGTCCTCTTGTGCTGCAGGAAATGGTAAACAAGGAAATGGAGAAAGTGGACACCTGGTTTAAGTGTAATAAAATGCTTTTTTGGGGTTCCCTTTCATTTCCCTTATGCGGTGTACTGCATTCTGGTAATTATCACTATGTTCCTTGATGCATGAATAAAATACATCTGAATCTGAATCTGAATCTGGTCAGTCTGCAGGTGATGTCATCCCTCCTCATCACAGTCCTGGCCTCTTTATGTTTGTCCTGCGTCTAATGTTGGACCTACTCTGTTCCTCCACCTCCTCTTCATCTTACTCTCACTCCTTCATCCCCTCCCTGCCATCCCTCTTTCGTTCTGTCCACCTTTGTCTTTCTGTCTTTAACATTCCTCCATCTCATTCAGGAGTCCCCATTCCCCTCATCTCTTTCCCATCCTCTCTTTGTCTGCACCATTAAACATCGTCATGGACGATTACACGACCGACATCACTAACACACAGCAGATGTGCATCAACCACTCTTGAGAATTAGGACGAATCATAGCCTGCCCAAAAAAAAGACTAATTGTGTTTCTGGAGGTGAAATATTGTTTTTAAAGGATGTATTTATATGAAATAAATATGATTTATAAAATATTTTGATCCTTTTTTAAATTTTTTAATATCTAAATTTGCCCCGTGACATAAAACAGCCTCGTCCCAGACGAGAATTCAGAACTTTAAAAAACTGAAAAGTGTTTAAAAGTCTTTCAAATCTAAAAACTAACAGTCCGTGCTGATGACATCGACATCAAAATGTTCATCCTTGAATCAAAGGGAACATTTGTGCCAAATTAAAAAAAAAAAATCCCTAAACCGTTCTTTGAGATATTGTGTTCATGAGAATGTGACAAAGGAAGTCACAACGATCTCAACCTTTAACCTACGACTCCCAAAATCTAATTAGTTAATCACTGAGTCTGAGTGGATGTTTGTGCCAAATTTGAAAAAAACGTCCTCAAGGTGTTCTTGACATTCTGCTTTCATGAGAATGCAATTAATGAGGTCACAGTGACCTTGACCTTTGACCGCCAAGTTCTAATCAGTTTATCCGTGACTCAAAGTGGATGTTTGTGCCAGATTTGACACAAGAATCCTTCAAGGCATTTTGAGATTTTGTGTTCACAAGAATAAGACAGCCAGACAACCTGAAAACATATTGCCTCCAGCTTCGGCTTTCACTGGCGTGGAGACATAAAAATCAAAACCTCTTAAAAAAAAAAAAAAAAAAGGTTTAATCCCAGTTAACCTGAATGGGCAGGAAACGTTTCTTTCACTGTCTGTAACATAATGGGTCCAACTTCCTGTGCAGGTGCAGGACAGTTCAAGGCCTCAGATATAAATATTAAAATCAAAATATAAATGTTGTTGCTCTGCAGATTGTCTCAGCTCATATTTAACAACAGCTCATGAGTTACTGCTTCATGACGCTCAGACGGTTCACGCACAGGTGGATATTATTTAATTTTGGATTTTTATTATTATGAATACATGACGACTTTTGACCTATAAAGTTCCTACTGTTCAGTTAAAACATTTAATAAATGTTGGATCATGATCATGTCGCTCGGAGGGAAAGTCATCATTCAGTTTACTGCAGCTGATTCAATCAGTCAACATGAATCCATTAAATATGCATGAACATGAACTCTGAGTTTCCCTCCGACTGAGACAGGCTCTGTGATGCTTTTATGACCGGACGCCATCTCTCAGACGTTCACACCAAACTGAAGCCAACTTCTGGAATCTTTGGTATGAAAACTGTTGAATACATAAAAGGAAGCAGACAGACTTAGAAATGAAATGTCAGCATGTTGGTGGACTCGCTGCACCTGGAGGACATCCTGGTCTTTTGTTTTATCTTTTTTTATGAACTACAAAGCCGCAGCGACTAAGGTTTTATATTTTAATAAAGTTTTTTTTTCTGCTGCCGTGGGAACCTGACAGACTCCTGTGGACAGACCTGAGGTCAGCGTCAATGTTCTGTACGGAGGCTCCGAGATCAGCCTGAGACAGACAGACAGAGAGTCAGACAGACAGACGGACAGATTAGACAGATACCTGAGTTGTCAGACAGTCTGAAGCGTCCGCAGCAGAGGTATCTCCTCCACTGTTTCTGGACGTTTTCTTTCAGGGCGCAGTGGAAGATAAATATGAAGAGACCTGAGGACAGAAGGAAAATCACTTTTACTGATCTTACATTTTTAGATTTAAACTATAAAAATGTATTTTTTGATTTGTCATCGTTTAATTAAACTACGTTTCCTCCACAGTACGCTCTCACTACACAGAATAAACTAAAAATAACTGTTGTACTGGGATATAATCACTGCAAATGTGACAAAAACACACTGAGAACATCAACCTCTGCTTTTTTCTGTGACTCTCGTTTGTACGAGGATTCAGCAAACACTTTATAGAAACACTAATTTACATTTAGTGACCACCACCTGCAAATGTATATACTGTATAGGGACGTCACCAACCATGCTCCAACATGCTGAATCGACAAAAAAACAAAAAGCTGGCCAGGGCCTACGAGGGTCAACGATGCACACCGCACTGACAAGGGCGACATACGCTCGCTGACGGCCGACTGACAGCTTGGGGTGTGAGGACCTTAGCAGCAGCAGTAGCGACTCTTCCTGCAGTCCACATGATGTATGTACGAGGACAGACTGTCCATACATCTATACTACCATATACAAAGTCCATATCTATCAGTGATACACAGGTCGACCCACAGCCCACAGATCGGGCCGTTCAGGTAAGCTTGTTACAAAATATCGCAGGTAAGTCACAAAGCAGCGTCACAAAGAAACACTGTGTCCACTGTTCCCCTCTCTCTGTTGCTCTCAAACACAACTAGGAGCTTTTTCATCCTCACCGCTGCATTCAGGGTTTCTGCTATCCCTGTTTTAACCAGGAAAATCTGTTGAATACCGACACATTTAAATCTCTCCTGTCACGATCTCTGGTATACCTCTGAGAATATGTAGGTCTAACACCATGTCTAACAGGAAGTAAGCTCCTCTGTTTCCACACTGAAGCTGTTATGCGGCATGATACAACATCATACTTGCAAAGTAACCTCTTAAAAGATTTGGTGAGTACCTGCTGTCATCTTCTGTTTGTACTTCATAAAGAGAAAACTGGAAATGACAAAGAATATAGTCTGCGACACCAGGGGTCAGCACGACCAGGTCCCCACCCCTGCCTGCCGCCCGGCACATAATGCACCCGTCCCCGATGCCAGTCCGTGCGGGTGGTGGGCCCACAGGGTGGCAGCTCCATGTCATTCATTTGGGCTGGGTCTGACAGGGCCCCATGGCCCAAGGCCCGACCACCAGACACTTGCTTGTGAGCTCTCTTTGACGTCTGGTTTCAGAGGGGGGCCCCGGTGTCCCCATACAAAACCATACTCTTTTCCCTAATGTGATATTTCATTGAGGTCTTCTTGAAGCGCTCTAGTCTGGCCCCCCTCCTGGGACCACTTTGCTTTGGGAGACCCGACCATGTGCTATTAGCCCCGGACAACACAGCTCCCAGGATCACAGGGACACACAAAGGTGGCGATTCTTAGAGAGTAAGCGGCTGAAATGAGTTTCCTCTGTAGGGTGTCTGGGCTCATGAGGGTGAGGAGCTCAGACATCTGGAGGGAGCTCGGAGTAAAGCCGCTGCTCCTTCGCGTTAAAAGAGGTCAGTTTAGGTGGCTCGGGCATCTGATCAGGATCCTCCTGGATGCCTCCCGTTAGAGGTGTTCTGGGCACGTCCAGCTGGTAGGAGGCCCCGGGGCAGACCCAGAACACACTGGAGGGATTATAGATCTCATCTGGCTTGGGACCGCCTTGGGGTCCCCCAGGAGGAGCTGGAAAAAGTTGCTGAGGAGAGGGACGTCTGGGGTGCTTTGCTCAGCCTGCTGCCCCTGAGACCCGGCCCCAGATAAGCAGTTGAAAGTGGACAACACAGAATATAACCAACAGCGATGGTCATTACCAGAAACTCTCAGCTCTGCTTTGCAAGTTTGTGGGGTTGTTGGTTGGGTTAAGGCGTGTGTTTTGGGTCGGGTGGCGGATTCTTTTAAAAACCCTGACCATGCATCACCAGTAATTCTACTCACGCGACAGGTGTTGACCACTCATGACTATTGCTACCTGCCACTTCAAAATAAATCAGGTGGATACAGGAGGATCTTGTTGATACTCATTGTCTAATCAGTAGTTAACTCTGTAGTTACCTTGCAGTGAGTTGAAGATGGCGAACAGGTACATGAAGGCGAGGTTAACAGGCCCCCATGCGAACAGAGCGAAGCCCCACGTCATCCCCAGCAGGAAGGTGAGGCTGACGACGCTGCGCAGGTTTCGTAGAACCTGGATCCCAACAGCAGAAGAAAAAGAGACTTTAAGATCTTTTAGGTTCTTTTTATCATGTTCTCATGCCTTTTATTTGTAATATCATTTTGATTTTCTGCCTGTTTCTTTGTCTGTTCATGCTAATGCTAAATGCTAATTAAAGGATGCTGCCACTTCCTGTGAACCAGACGACTCTCAACACTAAAGAAGAAAAACCTTTGTAAGACTGGAGGGACTGGCTCTGAAGGTAAAAGTGACACTTTCATCATGAGAATAAACTGCTTCCACCCAGTGGACATGTGATGAAGAGATGTTGAGTATCTACCTCCTCTCGCAGTGTGCGGTTGCTGCGTTTGCCATTGCGGCCGCAGATCTGCATCATCACCACGACGAACATGGCCACGTTCAGCAGAAACACCAGACAGAAGTAACCCACGCAGGTGATGTAGAAGACCACCGAGTTCTGGATCCAGCAGCTGAGGACAGACGACACACACAGATACATATAACTCTCACACTACACCATGATGCGCTGTAGATCAAAACAAAGAGGGTCAAAAGGACTTCCTGGAAGAGACCACTGTGGGTAATTCAGCTCCTGAACAATGAACAATGAAGGAATTCTAACCAGGAGAAGTTTCAGCTGGTTGTAATCTGTAATCCTCACCACTTGACGCCACTAAATCCCCCTAAATCTGACACACTGGACTGTTATAAGGAGCCTAGATGTCGCTAATATGAACTTTTACTGTCTCTATTGACTTATCATTGTAATTCTGTGGTTACTTACAACTCTGAGGATCCCTCTTCTGAATCTCCTTTGCCGTACTCCTGCAGGCTATAAGAGTTTTTATCCACCGCAACCACGATCCCCACCACCACAGCAGGGAGACCTGCAACAAGATACACAGTCCATCAGTGTTCACATGGCTGCCTCTATAGTTCTCACAGTTATGCCTCCACCTGAACCCCGAGTCCCTCACCCCATCCCACGATGCAGAACTTGAGGATGTATCGGCGGATGTAGGTGTTGAAGACTTTGACCAGAGCGATGTACATGTGGATGGACTCCAACCCCATCCAGGTGAAGGAGGTCAGGAGGAAGTAGTGCAGGAAGATGGCCACGGTCAGGCACAGCCATTCGGTTTCCAGACTGGCCAGCCAGCCGTCCAATAGGAAGACCATGTTGAGGAGCAGCAGGGACGTGCTGAGGTTCATCAGGATCTTGGAGGGGTAGTCACGCCGCAGTTTTCTGTGGGAAAGAAAAGAGGAAAAGAGAGGAGATGTGGATGAAATATGATTTTGCTGACAACTTTATTTGCTGCAGTTTGAGCTTATTTTCACCACCACGTATTCACAGCCAAATCAAACTGCTGAATGACTGGCTGGTTTCAGTTCTCGTCCAAAGCTTCTCCACATATCGCTACAGATTATTTCAAATCATCTGAGGTTTGAACATCACCAGAGAATCATAAAGTTTGGTTACTGAGGGACTTTGGGAGCTTTTGGAGGGAAGTCAAATATGGATAACTATAAATTTTATTTTCATGACATGAAGCAAAGGCCGGAGCAAAGAGAGGACAGGATGGAGGGAGGAGTAGAGGTTCTGATCTTAACACATGTGTGTAATATTTTTACATCTAAATCACTATTATCAAGCTCCAGTTCCTTTTATTTTGAAAGTCAGTGACACAAGTGTAACCTTTGACCCCGTGGTCACATTGGTCACCGACGTGGAGGACTCCCGCGATGAAACTTTGCAGCCTGAGGATGAGGTGGCAGCCTACATGGAGTTCAAGACGCCCAAGAGGATCCTTTGGAGGTTTGATGGCGGTGGAAGGAGCATGCTAACATGTTTCCTAATCTGGCAGTGATTGAATGTTTTCACCATCCAGTCAAAGAGACGTCGAATTCAAGAACGGAGAACTAGCTTAATGTGAGGGACTGGAGCCTGGGTGGGGTTTGATCATGGGGGTGGGTCGCAGGACTTTTATTAACAGGTGCGGCTTTGACTTAGACATAATGATGAGTAACAGGTCGGTTCTGGTACTGAGCTTTACGGGTATAAGCGGGTGCGGGTTTTCAGAAATGGACACGAGTAGGACTCTGCCTTTAGTTGTCTAGTTTCTAAAGTGAGTGCACCACAGCCTCTTGAAGAAAGTAATGTCGGCCTCGAATTATTTTTGCCGGGAGGGCCAGTGGGTGGACAAGCCATTGTATCGGGCAGCCATGGCCCATCCTGGCCCCTTTATGTGGGCCTGTTTGAAATCATATACAAATCTGACACAAAGGTGCACCATTGTTTCCATGTGAAGCTGAACTCATGTCTCTACAGACATAAATGTCGATGTCTTCATGAAGCTTTGCACAGAACGGTGGCCAACTGAAGGTCAGCGGGACTCACAGAGGAGCTGACGGGCAAACCTCCTAAATCTAAAGTACAACCTGCAAATCAAGGAAGTTGATTGGTTGATTCAGCATCCTGTCAGGAAGTTTCCTTTCTTATCGCTCAGATTTTGGGCATAGATACATTTCAGCTTCGTACTAACACAAGTGATCCTCTAAAGAGAATATAAAATTCTCTTAAGCCCACTTAATGTTGTCCATCTTGTCTTTGTCTCATCCATTTACGTCAATAAATACAGTTCTTTCACTGATGCAGTGCTTTGGTTATCACCAGTCCCTGTCTCCTGATGTCTTTTACATTTCTTGACATAATGTTTTGATAAATGTGACACTGTCTCCTAGTGGATGTGTACTTTATACTCCAACTCCATACAATAAAAGAAGCACACAGGTCACGCTCGTCCAACTGCTGGTGTCTCTTCGAAATTCTGTTTGTACACTATTCATTTGTAACAGCAAATATGTTTCAGCAGAAGCCGATAGAAGCAAATATACCAAATCACATATTTTTATGAACATGATGAAAACCTTTCTATGAATGTATCTGTAAAATGTTAATTTTGTTTCGTCGACCTGTGTCATAATAATATGAATATATTTCATTCTATGTAACCCAAACGTCTTGTTTAAAGCTGCTCTGATCACTGTGTTTATATCAACAACACATGAAATGATGCCACGTTATGTGACTCACTCAAAGGCGATGTAGGTGAGCAACGTGGCGGCAGAGAAGATGGCGGAGATGCCGCAGCCAATGTAGGTGATGAAGGTCAGGATCTTGTTGTGCTTTGGGTCAATGTGAGGTGAGGCTCCAGAGATGTCCTGCAGACGGGGACAGAGACACACAGAGGGACAATATGATAATGTCCTGCTCACTTTTAGAAACAAAGCACTTCAGAAAAGACTGAAAAGGAGATGAAGAAGAACTGAACTACACTGGACATAACAAATCATGTTCATATGATAAATGATGATTTTTGTCATTACATTATGTAAGATCTGTATGTGGATGAGAATTGTATTTTCCATCCACACTTGGATGACCTCCATCCCATCATTTCAGATATTTTCTGATAAGACCTTCGATCAGTTTTTTCCAGTCTTCCAGCACGTCCCCTCAAACCAACCATGAGAGCATTCGTTTCAAAATGTACAGCTCCCTGGCGTCTTCTAGAGACAGTGGTGCTATTAAAGCTAAAACTAACTTGGAACAAGAGCTGGGGACGGAGTTAAATCATGTGTGATGGGAGGCAGCCATAGGTGGAGTACACACTGCTACATCTTGTGCTCGACTCATAGAACTTAAGGTATGTGTAGGGCTCTTCTTTCCAAATCCAGGCTTTCAGAATATATCCAGATGTTGAAGAAACACATGCAGGAGATGTCAAATCACTCCCTGCAATCTGTTTTTTTTTTATTTTTCCTGTGTCCAGAACTACATACCTCCTGGGATATAAATAATTATCTAAAAGAAAAACTACAGTTATCACCTTGTGAGTTACAGTTTCCATCCATGTCTGTGAAAACTAGACGCTTCACACACAGAAGTGTCACTAACAACGTATTTGACCAAACCTATCGTCATTACAACACTGAAAAATGGCCAGAAAAGTGTTTTTGCATAATATTATGATGTCACAGTGAAACTGACCTTTGACCTTTTGGACATAAAATGTCTCACTCATCATTTTATCCTTTTAAATATTTGAGTGAGGTTTTGTCATAATTAGTGTTTGAATTCTTGAGTTATGTCCACACTGACCTTTGACCACTAAAATCTAATTAGTTTATCCTTCTGTCCAAGTGAATGTTTGTGCCAAGTCCCTCAAGGTATTCTTGAGACACCACGTTCACAAGAATGAGACAGACAAGGTCACAGCAACCTTGACCTTTGACCACAAAATTCTGATTAGCTTATTCTTCAGTCCATGTGGACCTTTCTTTGGATGTTTGTGTCAATTTAAAGTAATTCCCATAAGGTGTTCTCGAGATATCTTGCTCATGAGAATGAGAGAGACAAGGTCACAGTTACCATGACCTTTGAGCACCGACATCCAATCAGTTCACTGTTGGGTCCAAGTGAAAGTATGTGCCAAATTTTAAGAATTCCCTCACAGTGTTCTTGAGATATTGCATTCACATAAATGACACAGACAAGGTCACAGTAACCTTGACCTTTGACCACCAAATTCTAATGTGGTAATTGTAGAGTTCACGTGGATGTTTTTGCCAAATCTGGGGGAAAAAATAAACCCTCAAGGTGTTCTTGAGATGTCACATTTACAAGAATGAGACAGACGAGATCACAGTAACCTTGACCTTTGACCTATGACTACCAGATTCTATTCAGGTTATTGTAGGGTCCAAGAGGATGTTTTTATGCCAAATATAAAGACATTTTCTAAAGGTGCTCTGGAGATACCATGTTTACAAGAACGACAACCACACAAGGTCACAGTGGCCTTGACCTTTGACCACCAAAATCTTATCAGTTTATTGTACAATCGAAGTGGATGTTCGTGCCAAATTTGAAGAAACTCAGTTGAGGCGTTCTTGAGATATTACATTCATGAAAATGAGACGGCTGAATGGACAGATGGACAACCCCAAAATACACCTCTGTCCACGCCTCTGTCCATGCCTCTGTCCATGGCTATAGCCAGCGCAAAACCATAAAAAACTATCAAAATAAAAGCGCTCATTCAGCAGCAGAATGACTCCTGTCATCAGTTCTCTCATTTAATCTGAAATGTAACTAAACCTGTCAGATAGATGATAAAATACAATATTTTCCTGTGACATGTAGTGAAGTAGAAACATAAAGTAGTTTAAACTAGTAATACTCAGGTCAAGTACACCTGAACTGTAACTGAGTAAACGTACTTGTTAGGTTTCACCACTAAACAGAACCTTAAAACACGTGTATCATCCTGACGTCAGTAAGTGACGACACTAAAAACACCTGAAATCAGTCTGAGGTCTGGTTTAAATTCTTCTCCTGCTTCACTCCTCCAAACATTTCATTTTACAACTAGCCTTTTAATCATTGTATTGATCCTGCTCCAACTGTCGGCAGTAAACTTTAACGATGTTGAACAGCCACAACAGCATGAACACAACCTGCCACACACACACACACACACACACACACACACTCACCATGAGGATGCCAAAGTGCGTCAGGTGGTCACACAGACAGATGGTTTTGTTGCTCGTGGATTCTTTGGATGCTCTGCAGCCGTCTCCGTTCCAGCCTCCAGCTCCATCTAGTGGCAGCACACAGGTATTACAGCACATTAAAATCACCTCCAGACCAGAAGAAGAGAACAGCTGTACTTTGTGATGTGAGGACAGACGGACTTACTGTTCATGGTGAAGTCCCAGAACATGCAGACTGGGCTCCGGTTCGGCTGTCGGGACAGAAGGATGAAATAAATATATATTCTCTGTTTCAGCTTCATCACAGCAGCAGCTCATCAGACATACATTTTTAAGATTCATTTTTCTTCACTGTGAAAACTGTTCGCAAAGAAACATTTTTGGTGAGATATGAGATGAGTCCAAATCCCTTTCAGGGACCAAGCACCAAATTCTGGACCTTCTGCAGAAGCAGTCTCTGAGGGCCCCCTGTCCTTCCTCTCTTGATCCACGCCTCTTACACACCTTTTGGATTTTTATTCTTGAACAAAGTCAGTTTGCTTTCTTTCCTTTGTTTGGAACCCTGATTTTCAGTTCTTGGTTGAAAAAGAAAAGCAGCCACTCACTCGGCTCCATCTGAGTTTAGAGATGAATCTTAGTGCAGGGGCGGACTAAACCATTTGTGCCTTTTAGGGGTGACAAAGGACTCAGAGAGCTTCCACTATTTTTATATAAAGTGCATTTTTTCAACTGATTTAGCCAACCAATCTTTTATTTATTTATGACACTTGTTTAGAAATTAAAAAAAAAAAAAAACGCAAGCAAAACCTTTTGGGGTTTTGGAGATCCCCCTCCATTGGGGTCCTGGGTAATCGGGCCCACCCCTACATTTGGATTTTTTGTACTTTTGATGTAAATAAGGTCTAAGTCAGGTGTACCTGTTCAGAGAGGTGAGCGATCTCAATCTCCACCGGCTCCCTCAGGTCACTGATGGAGAAGTTCCCCACGCTGCTCGCCACCACGTAGCTGTTCAGAGAGCGTCCGTCCTGCTCTTTCTAAACACATCCAGAGAATATCACTGTTACTGTCATGTTTGCTTGTCTCCCATCAAAACAACGTGTCATGTGACCTGTTCCTGCCGTGTGTGATCTGACCTGGAAGAGGCTGGTGCTGCTGAAGAACATGAAGTTGATCCTGGACAGAGACGATCGGTCGGCGTCACTCAGGGAGGCGCTGGACAGCAGAGAGGAAGGAAGGGTGACCTGAGCTAAAGGGTTAATGCTCTCTGCCTCAAAATCCACCTGAGAGGAGGAGGAGGAGGAGGAGGAGGAGGCGGTGGAGGAAGGTAAGGGCAGGAGGAGGAGGAGTAAAGAGGGTTTAGAAGAGATACATGAGAGCTTTAACAATGTTTTTTAAAGCTACATGCGGTGTTACCTGTGTGTGGGTGGTGTTACCTGTGTGTGGGTGGAGTCACCTGTGTGTGGGTGGAGTTACCTGTGTGTGGGTGGAGTCACTTGTGTGTGGGTGGAGTTACCTGTGGGTCGGTGGAGTTTGGATCTATGAAGGCGCTGAATGAGGTCCCGTTGAACAGGGTGGTGTTGAGGGCGGATATTCCCACAGCAAGGTGTTTGGAGGTGATGCTGATGGACGGACCGTCTAACTCGATCTTCTGAACCAACTCGTCGACGGTCTTCAGAGCTCTGAGGGAAACAGGAAGTGACGTAAGTTTATAAAAATGTTCTATAGTAAAATACAGAGGGACAAACTAAGAGCGTAAAGTAGAGCAGAACATGACAATGTTGATCATACGTCTCAGACGTGGTGGCGAGTGCCGTCTCAGTGCTGGTCATGACGTTGGAGATGATGGTGACGACAGTCGAGGCCAACGTGCTGTTGATCTTCGCCACGTTCACTAGCTCCTTCACCTTGGTCACCACTTTAGACACCTGCAGACAGACGGAGAAGGACGAGGAGGAGGAGGGTTAGTTTATTTCCTCCTCACAGGAATTCAGTACAGCCTGGACGCTCACCTCTTCATTGGACAGCTCGTTGTCGGTGATGACGGCGAGCTGCACCGCTACCTCCGCTGCATTCTCTGCACAAAAACACACATAACACACACGACTCAGCACAAAGACAGAACACACAGTTCATTTCTAACACAGTCATGTTGCTGAGCGTACCTGCTGACACCTCGATGGTGTCGATGTCCGTGCAGTTACTGACGTCTGGCGCTGACCAATGAGAGGAGAAATTCTGTCTGTTGATCAAACTGAGGACGAGACACAGAGACAGGATGAAGGCAGAGTGACATCACAGCTGCTCCTGAGCGCTCACTGACAGAACGAGGCAAATTAAATTCCAGTGTCGTGGTAACAGGACGGAGCCATGACACTTCATGATGTTTCAAATATGGGCGATGCTGCAAAGAAGCGACAAATTCTAAAACACATGTTCAATCTGAAGATCTACACAGATCCATACAGATATCTCTATGAGCCATGATGTTGAGGAGTGGCCAGAAAAGTGTTGTTGCAGAATACTGTGAAGTAGCAGTGAAGCTGACCTTTGGCCTTTTAAGTATAAAATGTCATCACTTCATCATTTAATCTTGTTAGACATCTGTGCGAAGTTTTGTCATAATTAGCGTATGAAATTATGAGTTATGGCCAACAACATGTTTGTGAGGTCACCCTGACTTTGACCTTTTAACTTCGATCACCAAAATCTAACCACTTCCAAGTCGACGTTTGTGCCAAATTTGAAGAAAGTCCCTCAAAGAGTTCTTGAGATACTGTGTTCCCAACCACGGCCGTTCTTGGCTTCGGTAAGAATGGCCTTAATTAGGCGAAAAATGACTTACTGAAACAACCGCGGATACAGCATAGAATGGGAAAACTAAGCCATTTCAATTTTTTTTTTATAAAACCCAATATCACAAATCACAGTTTGTCTCACAGGACTTTACAGCATACGACATCCCTCTGTCCTTATGACCCTCACAGCGGATAAGGAAAAACTCCCCCTAAAAACCCTTTAACGGGGGAAAAAACGGTAGAAACCTCAGGAAGAACAACTGAGGAGGGATCCCTCTTCCAGGATGGACAGACATGCAATAGATGTCATACAGAACAGATCAACATAATAAATTAGCAGTAATCCGTATGACACAATGAGACAGAAGAGGAGACAGAGAGAGAGATGCAGGACAGACGGTAATGACAGTAGCTTACAACAACATTAATGAAAGTAATAATGTTATAATTATAATTCTGGCTATTGTGGTACAATATGTTGAAAGTATATATTAATATATGATGTGCCATGTGCACCACATCCTCCTGAGACCATGTGTTCTCATATGAGGACATGACATTTTGGGTTTACTTGACCTTCTATTCATTCTACTTAAAGAGGCAATAAACGGAAATTCATCATTTCTAGATTGAAGGAATTAAAAAATCGCTATGTGAAGAACTAGAGGTGTAATTTCATCTGGAGTATAGCATGACTTCACACACCCTCTCTCTGTGTTGATCTCCAGCCCCTTGTTTATAAGCTGGTCCGGCTGCGCGTTCATGTATGTTCATGTGAATCCCGCCCCCCTCCTCTCAGAGCCCTTGGCCCTCCCTCCCTGTAAAAGGCTACAGCCAGTGAACAATGGCAGCACGTATTTTCGAAGTGAAATGGCGGAGAGCGGAACGAAACGTTTACCTGAAGACGACCAGGATCCGACATTACCTCTAAAGAAACAACGGTTGTTGGCGAAGAAGTTGTCGGATATAGAAAGGGACAGAACCCAGATTAACATTGGCCTTGCATTTCCAAGGTGGAGAGCACTGCGAGAGCTAAAGGGGCTACAATCTGACTCGGAGCTAGCTCTTCCTCTCCTGGACAGGTAACGTTAAGTAACAACATAAAGTCAAATGTCTGTTTTAATTAGTGTTACAGTAACGTTAGGCACATGTTGCTATGTCGATTCAATTAAATTTAATGTTACAATCGTAGCATGGGTTAATGTCTGGAGCTTGAGTTATTAGCGGCTCGGTCCCAGCAATGGGTCAGTGTTAGGTGAGTAGCCCGGCAGCCCAGCTAACATTTGCAATTAGCATTGTAAAATGTAGCCAGGCTAAAACATCGCTCTCACTCACGGAGAAGAGTAGGAATGTTAGCGTTAGCTCCCGATGTTAGCGTTAGCTCCCAGTGTTAGCACTAGCCGGGATCCGGCGATGGCTCGAGCCGAGTCAGCTGCCACCGGCTACTGGAGTAACTTACAGCTATGGAGCGCTTCTACCAGCTCTTCTAATAACTGAGCCTCACCTCCATCTCAGCAAATATATTACATTTATTACAGGTATCATGATCACTGAAGCAGGCAGGGGAATAGCTAAACACAAACATGGACAAGGTCCAAAACCTGATCAGACGTTATGGATGAAACTTGTTTATTTATGATCAATAATGTTTGCCGTTTGATACGGCAACAAATTTGACCAATTTTAGCAACAGGAACAGGATAAGACGCTGTTAATTGTAAAGTAGTCATTTAAGGACATCAGGACTTTATTATTGTTGACAGTATTTAGTTTTTTAGACTCATGAGATCCTACTGATCCTAAATAGCAGGAGAAATAAAGAAGCATACAAACAGATGTTTGGGTCTCAGGAGGATATTAATGTAATCTACACATCAAGTCCTTTTGTTCTTCAAAATAAAAGCCCCAGATCGACACTGTCTGCAGGTGTGATCAGAGGTTCTGATGTGACCTGTTGCTCTCAAACAAGGTTTCACTGTGGGTTCATTAAAACGACAGAATTATTAGAAAATATTGATGGTATATCTTACTGTTGTTAAAATATTGGTACAAATATGATAACTTCCATCCATCTGTCAACACTGAGCAGAGTAAAGACTGGAATTTCAGGGTTGGTTAAATTCAGGCGAAAACAAAAACCCAACTTCCTGAACTTTGTCCTGTTAAACTTTTTTTGGCTTTCAAGAATGAACTTGAAGCAAACTCCACCCACTGATGATGACTGGAAATAGCTGATGGGTGAACTGTGAGTTGGGATCGTTTGTTACTGTGTTATTGGTAAAAGTTGTAATGTATGTGTGTGTGTGTGTGTGTCCCACCAGGTCCTGGAGGTGCTCTGGTCCTTGTTGGGGAAGCAGGGCAGGTACTGAGTGATGGTGGGTCTGCTCTCAGGCCAGCGGTAATGGAGCGGATTCTCCTCCGGACAGTTTTCTGTCAGAACAAAAATAAAATTATTTCATTATTTTGGCTTCAAATTAAAATGATGTCATAATGAAAAGAATAATGAAACACAAGCTGAACGAGGAAAACAAAGCAGGAGGATCTGATAAAGATAGACAGTCCCAAAAGAGAGCAACAAGATGACAAACAGGCTGAGATCAAAAATCTGCAGAGAACAAAACTCATGAACAACAAACAGAGGAAAGAAATCAGATAAGAAAGGTGAGCTCCAGAGAAAAAGAGTCGGTTTGTGTTTGAATTCAAAACTCTAGTTTTTTCCAACCTGCACTTCCTGTCAAAAGTTCTGGGGTCTCATTTATAAACACTGCGTCCGCACTAAACGAGGCCTGAAAGAGGCGTCCAACCTACGCAAAAGCTGTGATGTATAAACACACACTTGACAGGAGGAACTTTGACCCGTGCATAAGAACATTTTATTTCATTGTCTTCAGTAAAGAATTTACTGTGTTTTTTTTTTATTCTACTCTACGTAAGGCATCTTTGAGGAGCGCTACATGTTTGATGTATTGTTATTAAAATTAGTTTCTCACCAACTAATGTAACTTGAGTGGAGGCAGTCTGGATCTGCAGGCCGGTCCTCATGAGTCCCTCACTGCTGGACAGCCTGGCGGACACGGCAGCTTCACCCAGACTCTCATTGGTGACGTAATAATAAACCAGCAGGGCCTGACACGTGTAACTGGAGACAGGATACAGGACAAAGACACGATGCTGAGAGCACAGAGTCAAGTACGTGAGAGAATCAGAACAGAACACCAACTTTAGGGTCATGATAGACAGGAACAAACAGGGTCAGGTGTGAGAGTTTTACCTGGTGGGGCTGCGTCCGCTCTGCACAGCAGGCTGAACACTGGAGACACAAAATGTGAATATTAAACAGTGTTTCTGCAGAAGAAGGTTAGACAGAAGTTAAAGAAGAACACAGCTCAGATGTAAACTGCCTCTGACACTAGCTTTTAAAACACTCTCTCTCAGGAACACTGTTTTATCTGTTTTGGAATTTTATAAAAAAGTTCTCATGTTATTGAACCCATGCAGAGCACAATTATATTTCAAATACAGACAAAAAATATTGTAACTCGGGTTGCAGCTGTGTTTAAAGTTTAAAGATGTGCCATGATATAAAGATTAATAGTGATGTACCGATACCACTTTTTCCTTCCTGATGCCGATTTCAATCCCTGAACCTTACGTATCTGCCGATACCGAGTACTGATCCGATACCAGCGCGTAAAATAAAAATGGATGCGATATGAATTGTTGTATGTCTCAACTCCTAAAACTCCTAAATACATAATAATAGAATGAATGCCATAAAATGTTTTTTTATTATTCCTATCCACTGTTGACACAAATCAAGACACAGGTTAAAGTGCAGCTACACAATTTGGTAAAAAAGACATTTTAAAGGATAACTTCGGTATTTTTCAACCTGGGCCCTATTTCCCCATGTGTATGTGTGCGTATGATTCATAGGTACAACTCATTTTAAAATTGGTTCAGTATTGAGGGAGGCGGATGCAGCCGGCAGCCGCGAAATGAGCTAAAACGGTAACGGGGGCAAATGCGTCCCGTATAAGTTTGCGCTTTAAAAGTGCTTTTTTTCGCCACTGACCGGTTCAGATCGCCAGTGCTATCTCTGTAAATAGCATACTAAGCATTTCCCTTACCCTTCACTTGCTCTGGGCTGTGGCTGTGAGTGGCTCCTCTGTTTTCTTCCGGCAACAAGCAAAGCTCTCGCGAGTTGACGTCACAGCCCAGAGCAAGTGAAGGGTAAGGGAAATGCTTAGTATGCTATTTACAGAGATAGCACTGGCGATCTGATCCGGTCAGTGGCGAAAAAAAGCACTTTTAAAGCGCAAACTTATACGGGACGCATTTGCCCCCGTTACCGTTTTAGCTCATTTCGCGGCTGCCGGCTGCATCCGCCTCCCTCAATACTGAACCAATTTTAAAATGAACTGTACCTATGAATCATACGCACACATACACATGGGGAAATAGGGCCCAGGTTGAAAAATACTAAAGTTATCCTTTAAAGGCTACAGTAGAATGCTTTTTAAACCCTGCTCTGTTTCCGTTTCATTTGCCTGTAGCGTGTGTATGCGTAATGACGTGAGGCATTACGTGGTATCGGATTGGTCATAGGCTGTACTCGCCGATACCCGATACCACATTTTAGGCAGTATCAGAGGCATTTCTGATACTGGTATCAGTACAACTCTAAAAATTAAAATGACATATTTGTGCCCAGGGGCCCATTCTCTTATGATCTGCCCGTGCCTTCTGTCATCGGAGGAAAAACTGCATCCCTGTCCCAAGACAGAGAGGTTAAGGTTGGGAGGAAATCAAGTTTGGCTTAAAAAGACATGATTTTGGTGACACAATCCTCGTTGGAAACACATCAACAGGGTGCGAAAAAACATCCATGTTTTGTGGCTAAAAAGCTGCTGGACACAGAGATGACTCACCTCCTCACAGGTTGAGACAAACAGCAGAAATTATTCGCAGACACTGTTATTCACAGTAAATAAAAAGTGTTTCCTGTGTGCACGTGTTTGTTTCAGATAAACCTGCAGAGTTACCTGACAGAGTCCACGTAGACGGCGTGGGTCCAGTTCAGAAATGTTTGATTGAGCTGGAAAACAAATAAAATCAATCAGTCAACCAATAAAACAAGATAAAAGATAAAAACTAACTCTGCTGTTTATAAATGAAAATGATCTCCAACAATCACTGATTTAAAGTGAACAGGTTTCATTTTCAAGTCCGTCCTTCAACAAGCTTTAGATTTGTGTAATTGTGTAAAACAGTTTGTGACTTTTTCTGTCTCGAGCTTCATCTGCTAACTGACTGTATCACAGTTTTAACATCATTTATTGACCTGAAATATGAATTTATTGATATTTTACATCTGTCAAGACATTTATTGGTACATGAACAGTATCTATCTGTGTAACTGTGGAGAGGTCAGTCTTTGTTTTGCGTTAAATAATTATCTTTAAAACAGATAATGCTCATGATGCTCAGAGTAAATAGTTTTTTATGTGTGAGAACAACTTTTAAACATAATGAGTTGGGGTCTGAATCACCAGAGGATCCAAGATACCATATCATCCCCGATGATACCATATTATCATGACTTTAAATATGTTGTGATATGCTGAGTATTTTCAACACTAAATTATGTCCCTAAAGAAAAACTGTCAACATCTGTTTAATCTGAAATAAAGTTTTCAGTCTGTTCATCACTTCAGACATTTTTTTATTGCAGTAAAATGTATCTGGTGGACTGAAGAAGAAAATATTATTCTAGTAGGCAAACTAAAGTTTAATTTGTATTGGTAAAATTATCAGTTTGTATAATAAAAAAACAGATACTTGTAACTGTGTGACGATACGATATCACCATACAAAAATATTGTGAGTCTCTGCTGTATCATTTTCCCCCTAACAATGGGCCTCACGCAGGAAACAATATACAAACACGTTTTCTGTCATTCTTGTTTGTACCTAGCCTGGAAATCCAGACCCAAATCTAGAAAGATTTAGGGTCTGGCTATGAGTAATGCAAATGGCCCAACTTGAGGGGCGGCACCAAGCATGCATTTGAAAATATTACTGCACACAATTGGATAACACTACGACCAATCAGAACAATACACAGGGTGACGTATCCAGAGCTTAGCTACCAGCGGAGCTAACTGGTAGATTAGACTCTTGCCATATCCGGTCGGCAAAACAGCAAAAACGTCCTTCTTGCAAAGGAAAGATTCGAGCGCCGTCTTCTGTTCCTATTTTAGAGAAAAAGCCAAGTCTAACTCGTTCATTGTAGCAGCCAAAGCCGTTTCAAACAACTGGTGTTCATCCGTAGCCACCTTGCAATGTTTACTGACTGATTCCGGACTTCGTCGTTGCAGCGCTGTCGTCATCTGTTTAGCTCGCCTCTGGCCCGCCTTTATCAGATACACAGATGTGATTGGTGCAGCTCGGCTCCAACGGCATGGGTAATGAGCATCATTACTGATTGCCAGAGTGACTCGCTGAGCAAATTCAAATTGTGCTCTCGCGAGAACTCTGGATTTCCAGAGTAGTTTGTATCCACAATTTGTCCTTATGTTGTTGGTGCCCACTGACATCTGGGATTCACCAGTGTTTTCTTATTTTTGCTCTTATCTGAGGTCAGAAAAAATTAAACGAAACTTTAGTTCCCGCTGTCGTCTTTCTGCACCTTCTTAATAAACTCTTGCGCCTAGGTTGGAGTTTTGAAAGTGTAGGTCCGTTCTTTATGTGTCACCAACAGTCTCGCAGGATGAATAAGTCCGTGTCGGATTCCGAGGTTGCACAGTTCCTGGCGGACCGGGTCGAATTGTTTCCTCAGTTGGTGCAGTCCCACAGCTAAGTCTGAGTAGAACTGAACCTGCTGGTCCTTGTACCGAATGTCTTTTTTGGCCCGTGCAGCAGCCATGACTACCTGATTGTCCCTGTAGTTGAGAAACCTCATTATTAGCGTTCTTGGTGGTGCCTTGGTGTCCCTCATCGGCCCGATCCGGTGCACTCTCTCCAGAACTACTGATGACTGAAGCGCTGCGGCGTCCAGTGCGTCAGGAATCCACTTCTCCAAAAATGTCCTCCAGGGTTTTATTTTTTGTCTCCAGCGTGTGCACTTTAGCTTGCAGGTTAGCCACCTCGTCCTCAGCGTTCGATAGGCGTTGCTCCACCTGCTCATTAGTCATTTATTTCCTTCCTCATGCTTTCTATTGGCGCCCTAACTCTGTCAAATCTCGATGTAAAGTCTGTTTTCACGGAGCTAATGGCAGCAAGTATTGCGTCCACCTTCTCAACTCCAAGTTCAACTTCATCGCTGGCCGCCTGCTCCGCCATGTCTTCGTTAGCTGTAGCTGTTTCACCGTGAACTCGGTAGTCAGTTAACTTCGGCTGGTTTGAAGCTTTGCTCCCTTCTTCACTTATTTTGTTAACCCTCGGCATTACAACTTCCACTCCATCATTGTGTTACTAAGTATTGTTGCAAACAGGAGTATTTTTAGTAGGAATTGTAACAGTTACAGCAGAGCAGTGCGAGACACGTCTTCTCAGGTGGCCGCCATAACCGGAAGTCTGATTTATTAAATTTATTTAAACTTTTCTGCATGAATACTTTTAACACAAATACATTTTGCTTACTAACTTTTACTTAAGTACCAGTTTCAATGCAGGACTTTCACCAGCAACAGGGTATCTTTACAGAGTGGTATTAGTACTTTTACTGCAGTAAAGGATCTGAATACTTCGTCCTCCACTGACCTCTGACACATTTACAGCAACACAAATGTTTTGTCATTTTGGGTTTTTGATTTTCCTGTGACAGCAGTACTGACACATTTACTTTAAGTTTATTTAACAATACGTCAGTTTCTCTGCTGCAGACGTTCTTCTTCTTACAGCATTTTATTTTGGAGGTATCTCTCCAATTTCGGGCATGTGTCAGAGTCACCTGCCCTTATACAATGTTTCCTGGGCGTTACATCTGCTAACAGGTGACTGATGATCGAGTGGGATTCATCACTGAGCACAGCTGGGTCAGAACAGATCTGGATGGTTAGGTGCATCTTCTCTTATTTTTTCAAAATTCAGACAACTAAGAGAGATTTAAGAGAATGCTGCTGTGTGAGGCCCAGAGACCAAAGACTTGTTGTAAAGTGCAGCGTTGACTCATCTTACCCAGAGAGACACAGCTCGCTCCACCTCAGCCTGGGTCAGCGCCGCATCCTCGTCCTCCACCATAAAAGAGACCCGGTAGAACAGCCCCTCTGCAGAGGAAGACGACAGGAAGTAGAGGAGAAGTTAATACTTCAGTCTCCCTCATAATGAAGTCTTTTTATGTGAGGCGTAGCAGGAGATGATTCGAGCCGCTGGAGCAGATTGAGTTATGTAAAAATCACTTTATAGTGTGAAATGATGATGATTATGATGATGAGGAAGGTCATTACAGCTGCTTCTCCTGGTGAATGGGGTCGTTTAGAAAAAATGCAGGAAGACATGTTTCTGTCGGCCGCAGCAGTAGTGGCTTTATTAAAACTTGATGAAGAGCTATCTGTGTATTGATTTTAGATTTTTCATAATTCATCATTTTGTCCTCTGAATGTCTGCATTTTAAAAAACTAGTAACTCTAATTTTCCACCTTAAATTAATTTTGACTTCACATCAGTGATCCAGACAAAGAGGCAACTTTCTCAAAACGGTCATATCTGATTTTTTTCTCCTTCTTCTCCTGTAAATATGTAAATAATCTTGTTATTGACCTTTTGTGTCAAACAAAGGGTGACGAGTGTTGAGTCTTTATTTCTAATTCAAATGACTCAAGCAGAAGCTTTTTGTGTTGTTTCTTCATGTTGAGACATTTTTAGGGCTCCAGACTCTCCTGCTATGCTTCACATTGGCCACCAGGTGTCGCTCTGGTCCGTATAATCATTAGTATACTACTTCTCCATCAGCTCTGCTGTGAGACGCTGCAGGCTGCATATCTTTATGTGTTTCTGAGGTTCAGGGAAACATTTGGACTGGATTTCTCAGCCGTCTGTAAAACATGTTTGTTCTTTAGTGTTTGAGAGGACGAGCAGCAGAGCAGGACATCTGCACCACAGAGCTGGATGGACCGAGACACTAGAGGAAAACGGGGAAGATATGAGGATGAGGAGAGAGGAGTCTTACAGTGGATAATGTAATGATGGACAGACAAAAGGGGAAGAGAAGATGATCAATTCATTTATTCTATCTAAAAGTACCAAACTAAATACTACACTCTGATTGGACAGTGTGACTTTATTTTAATGCTCTACACAGCTCCCAGAATCATGACGAACCAATCACCAGCGTCCAGTCCCTGAGAGATCCCGCCCCTTCACATGATCGACAGCTACTCGTACTTCAATCTAATGATTGATTTAAAACATCTAATCACATAAAACACTGTGAAACCAGCCACCGTCAGACCTGATCTCATCATGCATTCAGTCTTAAAATCTGTTTTATCTTTAAAGTGGCATTTTCTGCCAAAAAAAACCTTCCCAAAAATTCTCAGAATTAACACACCATTTGGCCAAAAGTCTGCGGACACACGTGATTTAAAGCAGTGCTCATTAATCTGCTGCACTAACAGTCTCCTCTCTTCCGGTTTTAGCTTTCCAAAAGATTTTGGACCCTGACTGAAGAGATTTGTTCCTAATCACCAGCAAAAATATTCACATTACATTTCTGCAAACCAAGGATATATTACATTATTTTTTGCAGATACAATAAAACCTTACGTTTCTTAACAACTCTGTGGTGACGGTGTGGGTAGGCACAAAACCCACTTGGTTGTGGGTTAAAATACCTGGTGGTTTTTGGTGGCACAAAAGCTGCTAGAAAAGCAGAGACGAGTTGGTAAAAAACACCCAGGTCTGGTGGCTCAAACACTGCTGGGAAATGCAATCATGTTCCACTAAAAGCAACCAGGTTCGATGCCACAAATGCAGCTCAAAGGCCATAATGTGCTGCTGGGAAACGCCACGATGTACCGTTAAAGACAACCAGGTTCAGTGGCTCAAATGCAGCTGGGAAATGTTGCAACATGCTGCTATAAACACCAAGGTATGGTGCCACAAACACTGGTACAAAAGCTGCGGTGTGCCACTGAAAACACCCAGGTCTGTGGTGCAAACACGGCTGTGAGAGGCTGTGAGAGGCTGTGAGAGGCAAGTTCAGTGGCTCAAACGCCACTGGGAAACGCCTCAATGTGTCCAAAAAACCCCCCCTGGTTTGTTGTCACAAACACAGCTGGGATACGCTGTGGTGTGCCCCTAAAAACAATCAGGTTCTGTGCCACAAACATTGCTAGCAAATGCTGCAGTGTGCCACTAAAAAACACCAAGGGGCACTGGGAAATGCCACAATGTGTCGATGAAAGAAACCCTGGTTCGGTGCCACAAATGCCGCTGACAAATGCTACCAGTGTCACAAACGCTGCCTGGAAACGCCACAATCTGCAGCTAAAAACACCAAGGTTAACTGGCTCAAACGCGCTGGGAAACACCATGATGTGTCAGTAAAAAATACCAAGGTTCAGTGGCTCAAATGGCAGTCGGAAACGCTGCGACGTGCTGCTAAAAACACCAAGGTTCTGTGGAAGTATAGCAGAGGTGTCTCACCTAGGTCACCATCCATCATACCCTTCAGCTCATAGACTGCGTCACTTCGGAAATGTTAACAGGTGTCATGGAAATCTCACTCGTGAATCTTCAGGAGTTTGCACATATGATTTGTATGAAACATACAAATGTATCGTATCTGTGGTTTGCAGAAACGTACAATGCCAACATTTTCTTCTGACGACTGAGACTGTGTGCGTGTGTGTAAGACATTGAATTTCCACCTTGGGGATTAATAAGAGTATATTAAAAAAACATATATATATACATATACATATCATTGTGTGCTGTCCCATTAAGACGTCACTTCATTAGAGCTGGGAGACCAAACCAGGAAAAACAAATGCACACAATAAAACACAGGACAGTGGTGTCCATATACTTCTGGCCATATAGTTCATATGTAATCTGCAGGTATATATTACTGGATTCATTATTTTCTTCATCTAACACTTGAGTTGATCTCTCACGTTTCAATAAATAGACTTTAAGACTCAATACAAGTTACTATAATGTATTTTTTATAGTGCATGCGACTGTTATTACAGGTGATTGTTTTTTTTTATTCTCTACAACTACAGTTGGTTGTTACTGCATGACATACTGTTCGCTGATGACAGTCCACACAGACATGTAAAATGAAAGCGTTGTTTACATTGGCATGGCAACGCGGTCTTGGATGCTGAACCCACAGCTGCGGATCCAGGTGTTGGGCGCACCGAGAACTTTTTGAGGCCGCCACTGCCAGCTGACAGACTGACGGCTTTGAACGGAGCTGCTGAAGAGGAGTTCTTTGTGGTTATAAAGTGGTGAGCACTGATGGCAGCAGGCGGCGTGGGGGAAAGGTGGACCTCTGGATGCATGGCGCCATTCATGAACACTCCTGAGCTCTGGTTCCCGCTGTGATTTGACACACTTGAGTTCAGGCCAGGCTTTGAAATGGTTAAATTTGACTTTGCAGATGAGCCTGCATTCATGCTGAGATCTGGCGTTTGTTTGCTGCCTGACGTATTCCCCTGAGGTGCCGCCATACTTCCGTTTTCTGACAGAGTTGTAGCATTTTTAGCCTTTGTGGAGTTTGTCATTTGAATTGGTGCTGATGGAGCGTCTCTGAGTGTTGTAACAGCTGTTGGGACTGACATGGAGAGGTATTTTAAGCCTGCTCTGTTTGAAGTGTGGTTGTCACTCCCAGGAGGTGGGAGCTCCTCAAACCCAGAAATAAAGCCTTGACCTGGGGCATCGATAGAGGAGACAGTGGGGGATCTGGAGGCTGGTGGGGACGAGGAGATATTGAGGCCAGAAGTGTGCGGGGGGTTCTGAATAACCGGCGCAGCAGTGGGTTGTGTTGATGCTGCAGCAGCGGGGCGGGGAGAGGTAATTTGCATTTCAAGAGGAAATGATTGAGTGTTCAGGGCAGCATCTGGACTTTGATTAGGCTGACGGTCTGTTGGAACATTTAACACTGCAGCCAGAGTTACACTGTCATCGCTGCTCTCTGCTGACGAAGCTGGTCCTTCAGCAGAGGCTTCTTCATCTGCAATATGTAGTTTTGGAACAACGTCCGCAGGGTCAAACACAGCAGAGACATGTGACAGTTTCTCAGCTGCAGTCAGATTATCTGGTGACGATCCTGGATCATCGACAAACCTGGAAGCATCCTCTGTTTGTGAGTTGTTTGCAAGCTGTTGTAAAACTTTGTCGTAATCTTCAACAGAAACATTTGTCTCCGAGCGGCCAGATTTCAATTTGTCTTTAGAGGTTGTAGAGGTTTGGTAAAAAGGAAGTGACTGGCTGACTGTGATGAACTGCTGGATTAACTCGGGGTATGTGGTGAATCTTTGGATGGGCTGTAAATGATTGTCCAGGGGGGACTGGGTTGTTGTGGGCTGGTGCAATCCAGCAGTCGGCCAACTGGGCAACGAGGAGCCAATTTCTGCCTCCTCCATGCTGGCAGACACCGCTGGCAATGCCACCCAGCTGTGGGGGAGAGGATGGAGAGAAGGGGTGATGAGAGATGAGAGGGGAGGATGGGAGGAGACAGTTACGTAGGGAGGGATCACAGGATAGCTGGGGGGAACTTTAAGAGAGGGAAAAGGAGGTGGGAGGGTTGCTGCAGGCGACAGAGAAGGCAACATGGAGGGTGAAAGGAGAGGGGGAGTCAGGGCAGATGAGATGAAGTGGAGCGATTGCTGCTGCAGCCCCCTGACATCCACATGTGCCTCGGCATTTTGTGTATTCTGAATTTGACTCTCACTTGCATCCAAAAACTTGCTCACATGTACCTGAGCACCTGAGTGTGTGTGCAGTGGAGTGTGTGTGGGGATCAGACGTTCAGTGTTGGGATGTGTCAAGCCTGAGTGGTGCGTATAATCCAGCCCTGAAGCGTGCTGCGGGGTTGAAATGCCGAGCTGTGCACTCGGGCTGCTGTGGAGCTCCAGTGTCTGGGTTGGTGCCATGACAGACAGATACAACAAAGGGGAAGGGGAAGCAAATGCCAGTGAGTGCCTGGAGTCAGTGTGAACATCAGCAGTGGTATCTGTATTCACCTGGCTGTTGCTGTGAGAATGGGAGATTGCATGCTGCAGCCTCCATGGAGCTCTGGTAAAGCTCAGGTTGGAAGTGTGTCTGTCTTGTGACCCAGATGAAGACGTCTGAGCCACGAGAAGACGGTTTTCTATCACAGGATAAGGGGAGGGTGAGGAAGAAGACAATGCAGGTCCCTCTACCACTATCCGTCCTGTCACCCTCACAACCTGAATCATCGTAGCAGCAGGAAGAGCCTCTGAAGGTAAAGTGAGTGACAGGTTGTCAAGTTGACGGGAAAAGGGAGTTGAAAGGATAGGAGTTGAAGACAAAGAAGAAACGGCAGACAAAGAAGCAGACTGCAAACGCTGCATTCTATCGATATTTTCCTGAGTGTGTTCAGAGGCCTGAATGACAGCGGATGGCAGTGATGTAAAGACAATGCCGGAGTCACTCCCTGGACGTGACTCGTCTGGCAGAGAGTATATGTTGCTCAAATCTGTCTGATCAGAATGAACCAAAAACTGACTGACTGACGGACTGGCTGCAGGAGAAGAAGGCCATAAAACCAGTGACAAACCCAACTCAGGGTTAAGAAACTGTGACAGAACTGGTTGTGTTTGAGGGGGTAAATCTGGTGCAAGTATCGCAGCACTAGATGCCAGATTCTCCACAAATAATCCTGAGGGAGTAGGCTCAATCTGAGTAAACAAGGAGTCTAAAAAAATCCCATCTGAATGAACATACAGATCTGATTGCGTATCAGGAAGCTGATTACCTTCGTCTAGGGTCGATCGACTTCTGTAAGGTTCTGATATACTGTCAGAGGACTCTCTGGCTAAGGATAAGTGGTATTCAGGGAGCAGCGCACCATCAACAATCTGAGATTGAGTTGGAGCTTTAGAAAAGAGAGGAAGTGAAGATGAGGATGCTGTGTCAACTCCTGTCACCACAAAGTCCCTTTGAAGGTTCAAGGACTGAGAGAGAAATGACAACACAGAAGGCTGAGAGCTCCCGCTGAGTCCATCAGACTCTCGAACGTGAGCAGGTTCAACAACAACGGCTGTCTCCGAGAGCCTTCGTTCGGCCTGCTGGGAAGAGGAGGTAAGGAGGACGGAGGGCTGCTGGGACGGGAGAGGAAGGGTAGAGGACCAGAGGGGAGGAGTGAGAGGGGTGAAGATGTTAGATGGGTAAAGGTGAGGGGAGGTAAGAGTTTGTGAAGTCACAGAGGAGACAGACGACAAAGCAGATGTGAAGACATGAGAGGAGGTGAAGGAGGGGGAAAGAGGAGGAGATGAGGGGATAAGAGGTGGGAGGGTAGATGAGGAGGTATGGATGTCAAGAGGAAATACAAAAATGTTAGAAGAAGAAGGTTGGGGAACAACAGGAAAAGGAGAGGAGGAAGTTGAGGGTGTTTGGAGGATAAGGTGCACAGACAAATGTGTAGATGTATCTGTACTTGTATATGAATTATTAATCAGTCTGGTGTCTGCAAGTTCACCATCACGCCCAGTAATGTCTGTTTCATACACACTGTCCAGGGGGTTTAAAGTAAAGGATATCTGGGCCGTGTCTTCATTCTGTGGCACTGAAGAAGAAAGGATCTGCTTTGGGAAGATCTCCTCCGCGAGGAGAGCAGAGGAGCTCCATCGTACCACGGGTGAAGAAGGTGTTGGAAGGGATGAAATGGAGGGAATGAGCAGAGATGGTCCTGGGTGTAAAGTCAGTGTTTCCAGGTGTTGAGTGACAGCTTTTGTGTATATTTCCTCTTGCTTTTGTCTGCTTGAATTAGAGTTGTTTCGAACCGTGTGGTGGGTTTGAGCTCCTGTCAAAGTCTGAGAAACAACCTGAGAGTTGCTGATGGACATAACTGTCTCAGGCATCAATCGATCCTGCGAGTGGGTCAGAGAAAGCTCGCCACCGCTTGCAAGGCTTTCTGGATTATCCTGAAAATGTTCACTTCCTCCATCTGTGACAGTTCGGGGGTGTGTGACAGGAAGAAAAGCACCATGAGGGTCTGATTTGTTGAGTGATTGTTTGTTTGTGGCGTCAGGGCCGATGTAGGCCGGAGGGATGGTGGCAGGTTCATCCAAAGTGTACGCAGTTTCAAAGTCGTACAAGCTGAAAGCAGCACTTTCCTCTGTGAGCTCAGTCAAATCGTATACAAACTGCTCAGACCCTGAAGAGTACTCATCTCCCGGTGGTTCCAGTGGATCTATCCAGCTGCTGTTGGTTTGGTTTTCCCCACCGCTCATGCTCAGCAGCGACCACTGTGGCGCAACAGGTTTGTTCTTTCTGTTGCTAAGCACTGATGATGATGACAACAGTGATGAGGATGATGCAAGGGGTGCTGCCCCCACTGATGAGGAAGACTCCTTTGTATCTGATGCCTCATCTCTGCGTTGATAAGGAAATGACCCCTGAGACAAGATGGAGACCCCCAAGTCAGGAGGAGGTTTTGAGTCTTGAGTGGTTGTTGGGGTCTCCTTGTGCAGAAAGTTTGGTTGTGAGGTAGTTGATGCATGGAGGTGTGCAGTTGTATACGATGCATATCCTGACATGTGTGTTGCGTTGTGCAACCCAGCTGCATGTGTGTACCCGGCTGTGTGTTTAAATCCACGCGCCTGTGTTGTGTATGTAGGCCTGGCGGTGGATTTAAGTTCGGTTGCAGGTTTCGTGATGTGAACCGCTGGCCTCTGCGGTGCTCTGGTGGAAGCTGGATGTCTTCCTCTAGTTGGCCTCTTCCTCCCCTGCCAGATCAAAGGGGTGGAGATAAACCCGAGGGAGGTCTTGGAGCTGCGGTGGCCTCGGGGTCTGGGGAGGGACGCTGGAGGCCGAGGGCGAGGGGGTGCAGGTGGAGCTGGGGGGGCTGTGACCAAGAGTCTGGGTTCAGATGTTTTATTAGGTAGACGAGGGGCTTGGGTTGGAGGACTGGATTGAAAGGCTCTCACAGGCCTAACTTGTCTGATCACAGTGGTGGGAGGAGCTGGAGGTGTGTGAGTAATAGAGGATCCAGCAGCAGTTAATCCAGAAGCACGCCGCTGTCTTCTGTGGTGAGCAGCTGGGCCAACAGGTTTGAACTGCTGAGGAGTAACTGCAGCAGCAGGTGCAGAGGATTTGGATGGAGATCTCATGGTAGACTCCTTTGCTGTCACCAGGGCATGATACAAACCAGACGCCATTATGGTGAAAAAGCAGGTAACAGATAATAAACAAAAGTAATAACGAGTATTTTTCAAGCAATAAGAATCAAAGCAGTGTTTACACAGTGGAGATTTAGAAGCACCTGACTCCTTCACATCAGATGAGACATCTTAAATTTCCTTTAAGTGTCAGAAAACATTGCACATTGATTCCTATCATGTTCCTGATTTTCTTTTCTTATCAGAGAAAAGACACAATTATAGAAATAGAAGCCAAACCAAAACACCAAGAAAGGATCAAAGCACAGACAATAGATAAGTGTATCTACTATACAGGAGGAAACCTGAGGAGTATTGGCGTGATGAGATTAGTTTTTTCTATGGATTCATTTTTTAGTACCACAACAGGAGAAGCAGCTATTACAGGCAGCTCTGATCATTATGAAACAAAGAACCCAAATCAGAGAGATTTCACAACAAGACACTGGAAGGATAAAAAATACAACACATTCAGTAAAGGATGAAAAATGTCTGTTAATCTTAAAGGACCAAAAAGCAGCAGGAAAAATCTTAACGACTTGGTGAGAAAAGTAAAAATCTGAACAAGAGCAAACGCATCTTTCTCTGAAAAATAAAAAATGAGAACACATCGAGATATAAAAACATAACTAGACAGGAATGACAAGAGAAGAGTGTATCGACCTGGGTTGCCGAATGAGGCATGCAGGTGTGTATCTTACCCCGAGAGGAAGCAGTAGTGACAGCTATGTTAGTGGTCGGTTGGTTAGTAGTTACTACCAGCGGTGGAGTTCCTGTGACTGTTTGTGGAGACGGAACAACTGGAGAAGAAAGGAGAAGGAAGGAGGCCAAAAGTAGAAGGGATGATTGCATTTTTAGTGTGTTGTGCATTTTGATGGTAGGAGTGTTTAAGAAATGTAAATTATCACCAGGAAGTTAAAAGATCTAAAGATGTTATTTACATAAAATTACACTAAAGCCCAGTTCAGACCGAAGACTGACTACTTGCAATGCGGCATTTTGTAACGTTGCAAAAACCTGCTCATTCACACCAAGTCACCACCATGAGACGGTGTATCATCTCTAGTCAACAACTCTCTGTTCTTCTGATCTGTAACTTTGACAGGAAGTGACCACTATGAGACGGTGTATCATCTCTAGTCAACAACTCTCTGTTCTTCTGATCTGTAACTTTGACAGGAAGTGACCACTATGAGACGGTGTATCATCTCTAGTCAACAACTCTCTGTGCTTCTGATCTGTAACGCTGACAGGAAGTGACCACCATGAGACGGTGTATCATCTCTAGTCAACAACTCTCTGTACTTCTGATCTGTAACTTTGACAGGAAGTGACCACCATGAGACGGCGTATCATCTCTAGTCAACAACTCTCTGTGCTTCTGATCTGTAACGTTGACAGGAAGTGACCACGATGAGACGGCGTATCATCTCTAGTCAACAACTCTCTGTACTTCTGTTCTGATTTGCAGCTTTTTTATTTTGTGGCTGAATACCATTTGACCAGCTGAGTGTCAGGTGACACCATCAGCCGGCTTGAGTCGAGCTCAGACCGGCCAGTTCACACCGCTGACACTTTTCTCTGCAACGTTCTAATATGGTTTTGTCTCGTTGTGAATCTTTGGTCTGAACTGAGCTTAAGTTCTAAATCACAATGTCCAAGATTAACAGAAACATTTGATACACCTGGTGCTTCTCAAAGTCAAGGACGGACAGGTCCTTCCAAGGTTAGAACCCTTTCTAGCATTCGGTCAACACACATTAGAACAGGCTAAAAAGTGCCCAGGTGTACAAAACTGAAAAGGCCCCGCCTTCAATTCTGGTAAATCGTGTGCAAAGAATTGTGGGTGCTTCATGACCGCCAAGGATACACACATGCATCCTTGAAAATTCTCTAAAGGAAGGACTCAGTCCTTGTTAGAATTGTAGGATCCTTGACATTGGAGCAGTCCATCGGCGGGATGACGTAGCCTCGTTGAAATTTAGCAGTTTAAGGATGCTTCCTCGACTTTGAGAAGCACCAACTGTGACATAATCTTCCTGCTGCCATGACACTCATAACTGCTTGTCTCCGGACAGACAGGCAGAAATCAAAGAAAGGATGAAAGCTCCCATTCCTTATATAACTACGGAAATACAAGTGAGAGAAATAATCATGTAAGCAGGACTATAGTCAGAAAAAGAACCACATGCTGCTGTGTTTCAGGCATCAAATAGACTATGTACATTGACACTGATGTCAAAAAGCTCAAGTATTATAAGAAGGGGTGTAACAAAACACACATTCGTATTGAACCGCTTGGTATGAGGCTTTTGGTTCGGTACACTTTGCAAACTGAATGATATGTTGAACTATCCTTTTACATTTGGAAAGAAAAATACACAGCTTAAATTGTGTTTGATATAATGAAAGTTTTTGAGATCATAAATAGAGATGTTGAGCTTTTCAAATGATGATCATTAAGTGTGTGTTAAACCTGTCAAACACTGCTGGAGACATGACACACATTATTTTATACATCCTGTCACCTTGATTCTGCTTTATGAGACATGAATTAGCCTCACTGGATTAGTTTAAAGATAAAAAACAGATACAAAAAAGCACAACTTAAAGTTGACTAAGACGTTTTAAATTTTCGACTTAAACATTTTAAATATTCATTATGAAAATGTTTTGAAGTTTTGTTGACTAAAACCTTTTTAATTATCGTCAACCAAAACCTTTTTAAATTTTCATTGACTTAAAAGTTGTGAATTTTTGTTGACCACAATGTTTTGGATTTTCGTCAAATTAAATGTTTTGAATTTTTGTCAACTAGAACCATGAAGGATGAAAATGACTAAAATGTGACTAATAAATATATTTGTCTCAACACTAAGCCTAAAGCTAAAATAGCTGTAAAAATTAACGCTACTGTTTTGTACAAAAACCCCAAAAGCCCAAACATTAAAAAACAAGGAAATTTCTCTGGCATTCAGAAACAGAATTGTTTCTTTTGTTTATTTGTTTATAACTACAATATCACATTTTATATTCTATTAGGAGCTGTTTTCTGTTTTGTATGCTGCTAAGAAGACACCTCATTCAGGTACGGCTCATCGGATCGGATTGTTCAAAGTAGAGTATATCATTCATTCATCAGCTTCATCCTCTTGAGGGTCGCGGGGGGGCTGGAGCCTATCCCAGCTGACATCGGGCGAGAGGCAGGGTTCACCCTGGACAGGTCGCCAGACTATCACAGGGCTGACACATAGAGACAGACAACCATTCACGCTCACATTCACACAATTTGCATGTGGGAGGAAGCCGGAGTGCCCGGAGAGAACCCACGCTGACACGGGGAGAACATGCAAACCCCACACCCAGGATCGAACCGGCAACCCTCTTGCTGTGAGGCGACAGTGCTAACCACCACACCACCGTGCCGCTCTAGATTAGTAGGTTAGTTTTCATAATTAAAAATGTTAAATAGGAATTTTCTCTGGCAATTATACTTTTTTTGCATCAAAAACGTAGCGAACTGTACCATGAATTTTGTGAACTGTTACACCCCTTGTTATAAATATAGGTATTATATTTTATGAGAACACTTGTTAAGCCACGCCTCTCAGCCAAATCATAGTAACAATTAGTTGGTTAATTGAAAAGCTGATCAACACAAAATGAATCAACAATTTTGATCACCCATAATTGTAACTAACTTAATAAACAAGAATGCCAAACATTCAAAAATTCAAGTTTTCCAAATGTGATGATTTACTGTCACTGTCTGACATTTTCTGGGTATTTTCACATTTAATGTCATTTTACATATAAATAAGTCTAAATATTTAACAGTAATGACAAATATAGTTAGTTACAGCCCTAGTTCCAAACATTTATTGGTAAAAAAAACAGTTGTTATGTCCGTGCTTTTAACCCACTGACATAGATTGGTGCTGGGGTGAGATTTTTTGTGAGCCAGTCTTGAAGTTAGCATCGCCCTGACACCCTCCACAAGAAGCCGATGGGATTTCGTACACTAATAACTACTTAATATCATTTGAGAATAAGAAGTAAATACTTGTTCATACCATCAGAGGTCCAGCTGTCCCCATAATCCTTTACACAGGTTGCGACATTAACAGAATATAACTGAATTTCTTTAGTTCTAAATCACCTGAGTTTTATTACTTTGTTTTATCACTGTTTGGTTTTATACCGTCTGTTTCTTCCACGACTGAGGGCGTGTCACAGCTGCAGGTCTCTACAGTCACTATATACAGTTCATTATACAATCAGTGACGACAGAATTCAGTCACCTGGACCCTCTGAACATGAACTGGTACAGACTGAAACTCTCTCAGATTAAACTGAGTGCTCTCACAGCATCGTGAAGTGTTTCATATATAAAGCTGCTCAGACTCAGCTGTGGCTTTGCTGCAGTGCTGTGGCTCTTACCATGTGTTGTGGGGTTAGTAGCTGCGTGGTTAGTGGTAGCAGGTGAAGCGGTTGGCGTCTGTGGGGCTACAGGAAGTAAACAATCACAGAACATCAGTCAGGTTAACAGACATACGCTGTAGGTAAAATATGCACTGATCTGTGAGCAGATTGTCGTTTCATACACCTGTAAGGAAACAGGAAACTTTGGGACCCATCAGTGTATGAATATATTTATACTCATCATGCTTTAGGAACAACAACTGTTAATCGTTCTACGTTGTTAAGACAACAACCTGAATACACAACGACCTGTAAACAGACCGACACTGTGGGGACATCAACCTAAAACATATCCACACTGTGGGGACATCAACCTAAAAAATAACTACATTATGGGGACATCAACCTGAAAACATATCCACACTGTGGATACAAAAACAAAGACAGGTAAAAGAAACAGCTTTTGAGAAACCAGCAAGCTAGCTTCTCATATGCTAACTTCTGTAGTGTGAAAAAGCCTAGCTGTGGAAAGTTTTGGTGTATCAGCTCTTCACGAATTCTTTGCCCATACTTCTCATTCTATCACAAAAATATTTCCGAGAAATATAAATGAGTGAGCAAAAACAAATTAAACAAGTTATTGTCATCAGTGTTCATACTCATTGTTATCAATGTCAGAGCAGGATAAAATCAAGTCCTTGACCAGGGTTAACTAGCAACAATTTTCAGATATGGTTAGCTACCTTACCATGTGCTGTACTGCTGGCTGAAGCAACATTAGTGGTAGGAGATGCAGAAGATGCAGGAGATGTAGAAGATGTAGGAGATGCATGAGATGCAGTGGTAGCAGCGCTGGTGGTGATGATGATGGTAGTGGTGGGCATAACTGATCAGCACAGTAAGTCAGCATGTCAGTAACAACAAAACACACACCACACTGCGTTAATGGGACAAGCACCTAGTCTGTTTGATACAGGACCAATCTCAAAAGTCTTTCTTGATTCAACGACAAAGAAATGTTGATCAATATGCGTCTTTTTGACATTTGGTGCACAAACTGGGTTTCCCAAAAGCATCTTAGAGTTAATTTGATTTAAAGTTTTTTGTTTTCATTAGCCAATGAGATGTTACTTTTGAAAATGACTCTCTATTTCCCATTATTAATCTGTCACAGTTAATTAGTTAATTACTGGAGTCACACTAATGAGGTGAGCACACCAGAATTAATAAATAATTAAAAATCAGTCTGGGTTACATTTGAGAACACTTTTGTTCCTGGTATGTGCTATGTTTTAAGGGCTTTTATATCCTGGAAAAATAAAATCTTGGTGGAAAACACACAGAAACCACTCCTCTGGAGATGCTCATGGCAAACAAAGCAGCAGCGAAGCAGATGAAGCCTTAACCACATCAACCTAAAAACATATCCACACTGTGGGGACATCAACCTAAAAACATATCCACACTGTGGGCACATCGACCTAAAAACATATCCACACTGTGGGGACATCAACCTAAAAAATAACTACATTATGGGGACATCAACCTGAAAACATATCCACACTGTGGATACAAAAACAAAGACAGGTAAAAGAAACAGCTTTTGAGAAACCAGCAAGCTAGCTTCTCATATGCTAACTTCTGTAGTGTGAAAAAGCCTAGCTGTGGAAAGTTTTGGTGTATCAGCTCTTCACGAATTCTTTGCCCATACTTCTCATTCTATCACAAAAATATTTCCGAGAAATATAAATGAGTGAGCAAAAACAAATTAAACAAGTTATTGTCATCAGTGTTCATACTCATTGTTATCAATGTCAGAGCAGGATAAAATCAAGTCCTTGACCAGGGTTAACTAGCAACAATTTTCAGATATGGTTAGCTACCTTACCATGTGCTGTACTGCTGGCTGAAGCAACATTAGTGGTAGGAGATGCAGAAGATGCAGGAGATGTAGAAGATGTAGGAGATGCATGAGATGCAGTGGTAGCAGCGCTGGTGGTGATGATGATGGTAGTGGTGGGCATAACTGATCAGCACAGTAAGTCAGCATGTCAGTAACAACAAAACACACACCACACTGCGTTAATGGGACAAGCACCTAGTCTGTTTGATACAGGACCAATCTCAAAAGTCTTTCTTGATTCAACGACAAAGAAATGTTGATCAATATGCGTCTTTTTGACATTTGGTGCACAAACTGGGTTTCCCAAAAGCATCTTAGAGTTAATTTGATTTAAAGTTTTTTGTTTTCATTAGCCAATGAGATGTTACTTTTGAAAATGACTCTCTATTTCCCATTATTAATCTGTCACAGTTAATTAGTTAATTACTGGAGTCACACTAATGAGGTGAGCACACCAGAATTAATAAATAATTAAAAATCAGTCTGGGTTACATTTGAGAACACTTTTGTTCCTGGTATGTGCTATGTTTTAAGGGCTTTTATATCCTGGAAAAATAAAATCTTGGTGGAAAACACACAGAAACCACTCCTCTGGAGATGCTCATGGCAAACAAAGCAGCAGCGAAGCAGATGAAGCCTTAACCACATCAACCTAAAAACATATCCACACTGTGGGGACATCAACCTAAAAACATATCCACACTGTGGGCACATCGACCTAAAAACATATCCACACTGTGGGGACATCAACCTAAAAAATAACTACATTATGGGGACATCAACCTGAAAACATATCCACACTGTGGATACAAAAACAAAGACAGGTAAAAGAAACAGCTTTTGAGAAACCAGCAAGCTAGCTTCTCATATGCTAACTTCTGTAGTGTGAAAAAGCCTAGCTGTGGAAAGTTTTGGTGTATCAGCTCTTCACGAATTCTTTGCCCATACTTCTCATTCTATCACAAAAATATTTCCGAGAAATATAAATGAGTGAGCAAAAACAAATTAAACAAGTTATTGTCATCAGTGTTCATACTCATTGTTATCAATGTCAGAGCAGGATAAAATCAAGTCCTTGACCAGGGTTAACTAGCAACAATTTTCAGATATGGTTAGCTACCTTACCATGTGCTGTACTGCTGGCTGAAGCAACATTAGTGGTAGGAGATGCAGAAGATGCAGGAGATGTAGAAGATGTAGGAGATGCATGAGATGCAGTGGTAGCAGCGCTGGTGGTGATGATGATGGTAGTGGTGGGCATAACTGATCAGCACAGTAAGTCAGCATGTCAGTAACAACAAAACACACACCACACTGCGTTAATGGGACAAGCACCTAGTCTGTTTGATACAGGACCAATCTCAAAAGTCTTTCTTGATTCAACGACAAAAAAATGTTGATCAAGATGCATCTTTTTGACATTTGGTGCACAAACTGGGTTTCCCAAAAGCATCTTAGAGTTAATTTGATTTAAAGTTTTTTGTTTTCAATAGCCAATGAGACGTTACTTTTGAAAATGACTATATTTCCCATTATAAATCTGTCACAGTTAATTAGTTAATTACTAGAGTCACACTAATGAGGTGAGCACACCAGAATTAATAAATAATTAAAAATCAGTCTGGTTTACATTTGAGAACACTTTTGTTCCTGGTATGTGCTATGTTTTAAGGGCTTTTATATCCTGGAAAAATAAAATCTTGGTGGAAAACACACAGAAACCACTCCTCTGGAGATGCTCATGGCAAACAAAGCAGCAGCGAAGCAGATGAAGCCTTACCAGAGGAAGAGGAGCTGGCTGTACTGGTGGTGGTGGTGGTGGTGGTGGTGGTGGTAGTGGTGGTTCTGATGGTTGGGGTTAGTGGCATGCTAGTAGTAGGGATGGTGGATGGAGATGAAGTGGTGGGAGGGCGAACTGAAGATCACAAATCAATGGATACAGCAGAACGAGAGGGACCATACAGGGAAAATAAAAATGGGTTTAATGCTAAAATCAGGTACGCCTAACTCCTGTGTGCAAATCTTCATACTTCCAATAAGCATACATGTTTTACTCATGGATAACACCTTTTACCTTTGTGTTAAAAAAAACTATGTGCCAAGTGAAGGGTATTTTCTATCTTCCAATGGAATTACGTAATTAAATTCCATAGTGAACTGCACTTTTTAAACACACATAAAATCCTTATTTCCCTTATCTGAGAACAAGAGCTGATTTCCATAAATTCCTGTGAACATTCACTCATCATTTCAGCTTCTCAGATGAAAAAGAACGACAGAAAGGTTAATTATCTAATGAAAAGATTTGATGAAGTCATTTTTAAATGCAGTGGTAGATAATATTTATCCAGTCTCAGTCCTCCTGAGTCAAACACGTTCATCAACTGGAACAATAATGAAGAAAAGAATGAGCTAATGAATTGCAGAGGATTTTACTTTTCAGAGGTGCAGGAAAGGTAAAATCACTCAGAAGAACTTTTCATGGGACCTTTAAAAGGTCAAACATGGCACAACTTCAGGGAGTTCAGATTTTAATGAGCAAAGCCTCTTCAGATAACCATTAAGGATAATTGTTTTTTGGTGATGAACTGCAAATGACTTCCCGGATAAGAAGTCTACCTTTTGGATCTCAGATGAGCTCCTAAATTTATCATGAAGTTACAAGAAATGAAGTAAAAGAGAAGAAGACTAAAAAAGCTGTAGACGATATAAATCAAGAGACAAACCATCAAAGACCAGTGCAGCAGCTAAACAGCACACATGAGACTCAAATAAAGAGAAACACCAAGAAAGGAGGTAGAAAACTAGAGTAGTGGGACAGTTCAGGGAGACAACTGTGTGGACATCAACCTAAAAACACATCCACATTGTGGGGACATCCATATAAAAATAAAGCTGCAGTGTGGGGACATCAACCTAAAAGCCTATCTACATTGTGAGGACTTAAGCCTGGAGACATGTTCACACTGTATGGACAATGACCTGAAACTACAGGTGCATTGTGGGAATGTTAAATTAAAAACACAGCTACACTGTGAGGTCATCTAACTGAAAACATAATCACATTATGGCGACGTAAATGTAAAAATACACTGATGTTGTGGGGACATCAACCGAAAAACCTGTCTACATTGTGAGGACATCATCATGTTCACACTGTGTGGACATCAACCTGAAACAA